CTGACAATTGAGTGACAAGCTAAAGCAGGAAAACCTCCCTACTGGTCATTCTCATGCATTTCATTGTATGAAATACAACACAGGTGCTGTAGTTGCTGTGATTAATAATCTGTTATATATATATGGTATGTAGAAATTGAATTGCAGATATTATTTGTGCTGATATGCATGTAATAAAGCCATAATATAGCTCTCATTATGTGAGAATGCTACAAAGATTAATATTTAGAGTCGTTGTACAGTTGCAGTAAACACATGCTCTATCACCCACTCCCTTGGCTTTGGTAATATGGTAAATAATTAAAATATAGATAAGGCATGCCGAACTAGAGACAACAAAATACGCTTAACAAATGTGAGCAAAATATTTACTTATCATACTTTTTTTTTAATCTATGGACCATATTTCATATGCTTTCATTAAACTGTGAGTTTTGAGAATTTCCCAGAGGTTTCCAATTTTAGGACACTGTTGTGTTTCCACCAGAGCAATTCTGGTCTTAAATTTTGCAATTTCTTGCTGAATTCCCACCATGTCACAGTGTAGTGATTAACCCTGTTAGTATCTTTCAATTTTATAAATTACTTACCGGTATATAAAGTTAAAATGGTTTCACCTCAAATGTTGAATACGTTGTTATACAAAATGAAATCTAGTAGGGTTATATGTTAACTTTAATATCATCTCACATGTCTTCACTCTGCTGGTAAATTAACCTTTCACCGAGGGGTTTATTCACTAAAAAGGGAATGTGACGAAACCAATCTCGCCACATTGCATTGGAGAAGCCTGCTGCCTTTGGACTATGGCCCCATGTTAAAAGACATATTTTTCCCTGCAGAAAAGACTTATTCGTGATTTTCTGCCTAGTGTTCGGTAGATTCAATCTACCGAACAACCTCATGAATCACTAAACCACCTGGGAGCTGGAGTGTGCCAGCAATTAGCCTCCCAGAAGCTGCGGTTAACCGCAGCTTAATTGACGAATACTGGGTGGCCGCCATTCGTATCACGAACACGAGGTCGTGGCCATTTTAAACCCGCGAACGCACAGCGGTGTTCGACGCTCAATTCATGGAATTAAAATCGGACACAGTTTTGCGCGAACACCGCTGAAGCCGCCGACCTCCCTTCTTGTTCGGTGAAAGTGCACCGTGTTCGGTAGTTTTATTTGAATATATTATACCCCAGATAGGAATCCCATGGAGCCCATTCGCATGAGAACTGACTGTGTAAAGACTTTGGCTCCATGGCGATTACACTGTATTCGTGTGGTCTGAGCGCCATTCGCTTAATAATGTGCGCTCAGACCTGAGCTATCTGGGGACATGTTAAATGTATAGTTTTATTGTAACTTGTGTCATACTGTGTATTTTAATAGTAATTCATGTTTTAGTATCCCCACGTGCATAATGGCGATTTGCCTTTGTCTTGGGAGATAATTGAATTACTTCTCAATTATCTCCAAGGCAGAGGGGAGGAAGCCAGGATGCATTGTGGGAATATAATGTGACTGTGTGTCCTATTTGTCTACTTGTCTGTCTTTTGTCACAGTCTCCCATTTGGTCCCCTAGGGGAGTGTCCACCAGGTGGGAGACCTGCATAAATACTGGGCAGGTAGCCCTCATTAAACAGACCACTGCTTGACCCTCAACACGGAGCCTTGTCTCGTCTTTGGGGGGATTAACTGAACGCTGATAGAGACTGATTGCTAGGAGTGTAAGCCGCTTAGATGCTTTTCCTATTCGTCTGCTAGCAGCGATTCGTATGGTTCCAGTTCGTGTGTTTGGAGTGCTATATTGTATGCCGTTCAGGAGTTTGGAGTATTCCCTTATTGGCGGTTCGTGAGTTTGGTGTTCTACAGTAGCTGTGCCGGCATCTCTGGAAAGGAGGACGATCGCCTAAACGGTTTTACCCCTTGTGTGCAAAACGGTCCGTTACAGGGAAGAAACAAGGAAATTAGGTGGTCTGCCAGATGGCAAATAATTGTGCCAGATTGTGTTGCTATAGGATTATTTGGGTGCATGAACATGTCTTTGCTTGTATGTGTGTCATTGTGTGTTTCTATATCAGTGTGTGATTGTTTTGCCTGTATTTATGTCAATGTGTACAGGCTACTGTGCAGGGCTAGATGAACAAAACTCCATTCCCTATACAATTGAATAGGCCAACTGATGAAAAAAACTAAAATTTTTTTCTTACTTGGCCTGCTCATGCTCTATAATGCAGAGGGAATAAGGATGGGGAACAAAATGTGTGTGGATTGGCTGACTATAAAATAGTTTAAATAAATCTGACTTTGCACATTATGCAAATAGGCCTGCAGTTTGTGCATCTCTAACATTGTAGCATGTATCCTTTCTGCACTCACCACATCGATCTTTCATTCTGTCTCATGCTTCTGCCTACTAGCAAAAAGGAACAGAAAGGGATGGACAAGTGAGTGCTGAGGAGAGATGATTCAGTTTGTGATGAGCTAAAGAGAATAATTGAGATTTGTTTGGCTTGTAAGATTGACAAGTAGACTTAGTTGACAAATAAAAGTGCCAGTGGATCTATGCCAGATTATATGTTTGTGTCAGCATATATGTCATTACGTAGTTGAGCCTGTGTTAGATTGTTGCTGTATTTGTGTGATGGTCCATGTACCACTGTGAGTGTCATTTTTTTATTCTTTATTTAAATTTTTTGTGCATAAAGAATAATCGTTACATATATTGCCAGAAAGAACAAATGGTTATATAAATAACCAGGTAATAGACATACATGGCATTTGCGTCTGTTGTACTTCTTGAATGGCTAGGCAGTTGTAAAGGTTTGTCCAGCTTTAGGTACTGAATTTCTGTTATGGGTTAGGTACCGTGAGGCGTGGTGTATGGTCACTTGACCTTGTTAGTCTTGGTGTGCCCCCCTCAACTGTAAATTTGCTTAAGATAGCGGCCTAGTTGGTAAGTGTAGTTGGGAGTTCTCTTGGGCGATACGTAGTGCATGAGGTCACATTTATTCATATCTTAGTCAACTCATGAGGTTCTCGGCATGTATGCTTGTTGGGCTTATGTAGTCGTGGTTTGGTTTTGGGCAAGCAAGTTTGAGGGGTGATGGTAGTGGCCAGTGCCTAGTGGCATCTAGTAGACCAGGGTTATATTAGTCGTGCAAGCTGCTCATATTCGAGCTGACTTTCACAGTTCCATATGGGCACTTGGGGAGGGAGTGATGTATGTCATACGTCATTGGGGTTTGCTGTTCAAGTCTTGTCTGAGTAGGCTCGGACAATTTTGTCATTAGGTATGGTCCCTTTAACAATAAACTTTAGAAACAGTAAAAACAGTATAAACAAAGAGAAATGTAAACAGTTGTCAGCTTGTGTGGGAGGCGTATCATTGAGGTCACTGGGCCTCCGCTGGTTGAGGGTGGCGAAATTGCCAGAGTCCATGGTTGGGTGCGAGGTTGGCCTGCGGCACTGGCTAGGAGTCCTAATGTAGCAAGCAAGGCTGGATCCTCTTCCAGCTCCGATATCTTGTAGGCTTTATCTTCTTTGATGATCCATAATGCTCTAGGGGTTGCCCATCTGTACATGAGTCCAGCGGTTTGTAGTGTGGTGGTAATGGGCAGCATTCTTTTACGCCATACAAGTGTGACCCTGCTTAAGTCCTGAAAAAAGGCAATGCGGCATTGTTCAAATTAATATGGCATTTTCCCCTTGATGGTGGCGATTAGGGTGATTTTGTCAGTTAGCGTCTGGCCCCTTAAGATGAGCAGCTTGCGTGGTCTGCGGCAGCTTGCGTGTGAGCAGCTTTCGTGGTCTGCGGCAATTTGGCAATCTGGTACACGCCATCGAAAGAGAAGTTTTTGACTTGTTTTGTGGGTAACAGTGATGATACAAGACGCCTTATAAAATGAGGCAGTTCTTCCAGGGGTATTGATTCCAGGACCCCTTGGATTTTCACATGCATCTGTTGTACTGTTTCCCTCAGGTCGTTCAGGCCTTGTTGTAGGGTCTGCACCTCTTTCTCTGTGACCTGCGTATGAGCTGTGACCGTTTGCACTTCAGCTGTGAGCCCCTTCAGGTCTGCATACCACTGCCAGCATATCTTGAATGTCCTGTTTGGAAGCTGGTGTACCTGTTCCCCTGGTCTCAGGGGCCTCCCTTTCCATTCTGGCTGTAGCCAAGCTGTGTGGCCTATCCCTACCCCTAACCCTACCCCTAATCCTAGGGGTCAGGTTGGGGGAAGGGGTAGGGTTAGGGGTAAGGTAAGGGTTAGGTTAGGGTTCAGTGTAGGGTTAGGGTTAGGGGTAGGAGTAAGGTCAGGGTTAGGGGTAGGGGTAGGGTTAAGGATAGGGGAAGTGGTAGGGTTGGGGGTAGGGTTAGGGTTAGGGGAAGAGTTAGGGGAAGGGTTAGGAGTAGGGTTAGGGAATTGCCGAATTCCTGAAGTGTATAATTGCTGAAGTCCCGAATTTCGGAAGTGCTGAAGCGAAGTGCCAAATTGCCGAAGTCCTAAATTTCGGAAGTTCTGAACTGAATCAAATTTTTTTCCCATGCTCATCCCTTAGTTGATGTCAATGGATGGTGTTCTTTGGCTTTTGTTTATGTGTTTCATGGTCAGCAGCAATTGTATGTCATACAATGACCAGTCATACTGCACGTACGGTACACTCAAGACTGTTTGCGATAGCACTTTGTGTACCTGGGTCATTGAGACCATGACACTGTTAAATTGTTAAAGCAGCAGTTTTGATCCATGTTTTATGTCATTATATGGCATTTTCTTGTTTCTGTTTTATCCTGACATCTGCAAAAAATAAAATGCTAAAACCGAGCTGTAAGTGAACAATACAGGGATTTAAATTTAGCAATAAAATACAGTGAAAAGCATTGTCTGAAGCAACCACTGATATATATTGCACTCAATACTAATGTCAACAAATAAGTAATACACCATTTCAGATGAGGCTGCAGACTTTCTCAAGCAGCTGTAACATTGCATTCTGAAGGCAAAAGGTTGCATTTGTAATCTTCAACAAAATAGCTAAGATATTGGACTTGAGGTACCCAGTCCTTCTTTTTACTTGATTATTGCTAGGAGTATGGCTGCTCCAAACCTTAAAACATCCTGCTCCAGTATGGTTGGTGTGCACATTCTTTACCAAAACATGGTGTGCAGTACATGAGACACCAAAGTCAACGATAATACTTATGTCATCATGAAGTTGTTAAAATCATAACATTAATACCCTTTAAATTATACCATCAGAGGATCACAATGTTATTCACCTTTTCTTGTGTTATAGTGTATAGTGTACTCTGTCTTAATCAATATTGGTGAAGCTGCTATGGATATTTTTTTGCTTGGATTATTTCTTATCATTTTTTTCTCTTACTCATTTTATTATACACGTTGGTACATTCATGTATTCAGGGGAAAGGAATAATGCTTACAGAGTGACTATGTATTTTTAAGTGTGATGTAAGGGATTTTCTTAATCTCATAAATAGTTCTCCACTGGAAATATTCTTTCCCTTACTAATATTTGGATTTTTGACAGATACCATAACTGGTGATCCAATTTTAATAAGGTGATACATTAATGAGTTGGAAATATGAACTGGGTGTACAATACACTATAATGTACTTGTAATTCTTGATTTAGTATCTTTTGTATTTAGTACAATCTAGGCAGCAACACAACTCTCCCTGTCTTGAGCAATATGGTTGTTCATATACTGAAGCAACGAGAAGTCTGCAGTTGATTATTAAATCTGATTAGAACTAGAAAACATAATTCATGTACATAAAAGAGAAGCTATAATGCAAAAAAAAAAAACAAATCAAAAAAATTATAACTCTTTTGTGCTTTATTCAAGATATAACATTAGATTATTTAGTTTAGTAAGGAAACTGGAGTCTCCTGAATGAACCAATTTTTGAATTCAAAGCACCCCAATCATTGTATCTTCTGTACTCTCCAGGTCTCAGATAATACTGGCGTCCCTTGTAGTTTGGTTCCTCATAGAACATCCAGTATCCATCTTGAACATTGCAGGAGTTGATGTCATGGTAACGAAATCTCTCATACACATGAGGGCAATCTTCAGAGAACTCCATCATTTGACCTTTAAAGTCTTCTCTCTCGTAGATCTTAATTTTGAATGATCCACTGTGCTATTAAGTGATCAAATCATACAATATTTAATGAACATACTGCAGGACAAATTCTTTTGTATTTTATAATAAATATTTTTTTAATCTTTCTATACTCCACATAAAAAGTTTAAATATTTGTTTATGATTATGTTCACTATTTCTTTTTTATGTTTAAACCTCTCTTAAATAAAATATTCATGCTACATTTTATCTAATAAACAAAAATGAAAAACATACATTATCATTCATTATCCATAATTATTATTCATTATTGTACATTATCAAATATCTACTTTTCAATATTATATATATATATATATATATATATATTTTTTTTTTTTTATTGTTGCTATCAGACATTAAAATGTATGCTTACTTGTGGGGTGAAACGACATGATTTGATGGAATCATTGAAACCCAGCCAATGCTGAAAATCAGGATACTCTCCTTTCTTCAAGTAATATTGATATCCCTTGTAGTTGGGGTACTCATAGAGTATCCAATTCCCATTTTCTACACGGATAGAGTTGCAGCGACTGAAATAAGAGGACAGGTCAGGACATTCTGAGGTGCACTCATAGCAGCGACCCTGGAAGTTTCTGTCCTCGTAGAAAATGATCTTCAGAAAAATAAATAAAAAATAAAATATTAATTTATTCAGTGATTATTAGATTTCTCTCAATTATCCATCTTATATGTAATATATTGTTTATTAAAGAAGTAGTCACAGTATTACATGTTCTCACTATATCCCCTACATTTAAAGAAAATATTAAAATATCAAAACCAAGTTTCATGGTAGCAAAGTGAACTGTAACATTTACTATAAGCTTTCTATGAATAATAGGCATATAAAATAAGTTTAAAAAAAAGGCTGCACTATTACCAAACTTTCCACTTTCTTACATACATCACAATGTTGGGGTCTGCCCACACATGTGGCGGGTTTGGGCACTTAAAGGTCAGAGGGGGGTGCAGGGAGTGGAGCAGGATGGGCAGCGTGGGAATGGGGTAGGACGGGTAGGTGAGGGGGAGACAGACATTGAGATGGCACAGGTACAGTTAGCTTCTAAGTATGAGCTGGAAGTTGGACATGAGGCAGGTATGGGAAAGGATAGAGGCAATGCTGATAAATGCAACATGTTACAATGCACAGATGCCTCCATTCACAGGCAGCAAACATGAGCTATCGCCTTTGCTCTCAAGCAACACAGAATCTCTCCCCGACGGTTCAAGAAGTTACGTGAAAATAACACTAGACTGGCAGTAGGGGAAGTGCCAGTCATGATTAAACATTATGTGCATTAGGTATGCTTCCTTGGATCTCACAAAGACACTGATGATATTGCAAGATCTTTCAATTGTGCTTGAGTATCACATTTTAAAGGCATAAGACACTGATTGGCTGAATCAGTATACCCTCTAAGGTAGGCATGAAAAACCCAGAGAACAAAAAAAGATAAAATATTGAAAAAAAACACACATTTACCTGCTTTTTCTGCCCACAGAATGACTTAACTGTCACAATCAAAGGCAACACCTTTGACTGAGACAGTTGTCCCTAAAGTTTGTTTGACCCTTTAAATAAATATGGAAGTTTTAAATACTGCTAATATCAAAATTGCAAAGGAAGCTAAAGAAGTGTCTTACCTTAACCATGTTGTAATGAGAGCTAATATGACAATCCAGTAATGCCAAACTAAGAGAGAAAACCTTCTTTATATACTCTCTTGGTTGTGCTGATATCGGCATACATTTAAGGTTACGTTAAGCTTGATTTTCTGTCTAGTATGGACAATGTATAGGTCTTTTGTTTGTTATTGTAGCTGAGCTAGTCCTGTATTTCTATGGTGCTATTGTGCATGTATGCTTAGAGAGGGAAAGGGTCAGTCAGCATTACAAATACAGTAGTTTTAGAAAGCTGGAGCTGAAAGAACTTAAAGAGACAGTACTGCTTTAAACTTTAACCCCTTAAGGACACATGACATATGTGACATGTCATGATTCCCTTTTATTCCAGAAGTTTGGTCCTTCCGGGGTTAAACAAGATCACATTTAAACATTTATATATCTACATTTATAAATATATAAATAGTTGCAGTTTGAATGGAAAAAGAATGTTAGATTAATTAACAACTTTTATTACATTACCTGAAACAAATTAAGCAATACATGGAAAACAGTAGCTTGATACTCCAAACAAATGAGCTACTTATTCTGTGACTCAATCTATGTAAGACTCTTATTATATTTCACGGCAAACCAGAAAACCAAACAAAATTATTTTTTTTATACCATATACCATTGGCAAAGAATGAATGAAGCTAGCATTTTGACAGGGTCTGTCCTTTCTGTGGGAATTGAGTGATGAAGTGATGAAGTGATGAAGACATCTAACAGGTTTTAAAGCTGATTTTTAAAAACAGATTTGTATCTGTTTTTATCTACTTGAAAAAGCCTTGCAAGGCGAAACACGTTGTAGATTATTTTATATATTTTTGTACCAATAAAATATATTTTTAATACCTTTTATACCTGGCATCCTGAATTCATCACTCCAACCGAGAACCAAAGAATCCTAGATGGGGATTATACCACCAGCGCTCAATTCATCGAGCAGTTAGCCTGCTCTAAAAAGTGTGAGTACATCTCCTCTACAATAATTTATTGTGATTTTATACAATGAGCACTATATTTGCTACTTTCTCTCTCTTTCCGGTGTGAAACTGCCAATATTGGGAATATCTGGAAGCAACACCTACCATACATATACATACCATAGAAGTAGGGATCATTCCACTTCACGCTATACATACCAGAGCAGGATATAGCTCTGGTAAATGTGAGTAATATACTATCCAGAATTATTTTTATACACTATATTTTTTACTTTATACTGTGCCATTGGAGTTCCCTTCTCTTTATGTTTTGCATATACCTCTGGAATTACAAGAACTATTATATCAAGAATGTCTAATACAACCAAGCTTTCTTTTTATTTTTTATTCATTTTTTATAGCACCAGCAAGTTTTATAGCACTGTACAATGGGTGGACTAATAGACACGTAGTTGTAACAAGACAAGTTGGACACATAGAAACAGAGGGGTTGCGGGCCCTGCTCAATGAGCTTGCATGCTACAGAGAGTGGGGTATAGTGACACAAGGGGTAAAAGTAGGGGTATCAATGTAGATTGCTAGAAAAGTATCCAATGAGGGCTTAGTAGGTTATGTTTGTCAGTTGCAGGAGAGGAGTCAGGGTGTGGGGATGAAAAAAGCTGTTAACAGTTTACTTGAAACGCTTTCCTGAAGAAGTGAGTTTTCAATGTTTTTTTTGAAGGAATGGAGACTGGGTGAAAGTCTAATGGATAAGGTAAGGGTGTTCCACAGAAAAGATGTAGCCCTGGAGAAGTCTTGAAGTCAAGCATAAGAGGTGGGAGTACAGACAGAGGATAGATGTAGGTCTTCGGCAGAGCTCAGAAGCCTAGATGGGACATACTTGTGTATTAGTGAGGATAGGTAAGTTGGAGCAGCATTTTGTGAAGACTTGTAAGCAAGCACCAGAATCTTACATTGAGCCCTATATCTTATGGGAAGCCATTGTAGGGACTGAGGGAGGAGTCGTGGTAGGTGCGGGCATAAAGGAAGATGAGCCTCCCCGCTGCATTCACGATAGATTGCAACAGTGCAAGCTGGGAACATGTAAGACCACTGAGAAGGGGATTGCAGTAGTCAAGGCAAGAGAAAACAATGGCATGGCTCAGCACCTTAGCCGCGCCCGGCGTTAAATATGGGCAGATGTGCTCTATGTTTTTGAGATGGAAGTGGCAAAATTTGGTGATTGGCTGAACATGAGGGGTGAAGGAGAGGTTGGAGCCAAAGAGAACACCTAGGCAGTGAGTCAGCAAGGTAGAGGTGATGGTAACGCCATTGACTTGGAGGGAGATAGACACAGGAGTATCAACACTTGAGGGAGGAAATATCAGGAGTTATGTTTTGGATAGCTTGAGTTTGAGGAAGTGAGCAGCCATCCAGTTGGAAATAGCAGAGAGGCAGTCAGAAACATGAGTCAAGATGGGTGAAGAGAGTTCAACAGACAACAGGTAGATTTGCGTGTCATCCACATCTAAATGATAATGGAAGCCAAAGGAGCTTATGAGTTTACCAAGGGAGGCAGTATAGATAGAGAACAGTAGGTGACCAAGGACAGAACCTTGGGAAATGCCAAAAGAGTGGGGTTGTTGAGAAGGCAGGGCCAGAGAATGAAACACTGAACAAGCCCTGGGCGAGGTAGGAGGAGCAACAGGAGAGAGCAGTATCCAGTAGACCAAGATAATGGAGAATGAGAAGAAGCTGTTAATGAACAACAGTGACAGAGACAGCATAATGATCAAGGAGAATTAGGATAGAGTAATGGCCGAGAGATTTAGCAGAAATTAAATAGTTGGATACTTTGGTCACAGCCGTTTCAACAGAATGACGAGCGCGGAATCCAGACTGATGCATGGCTTTTAATGCCTATTTCGAGGTCATTTATAAATATGTTAAATAGAAGCTATCCCAGAACAGAACCCAGAGTAACACCACTTACCACATCTGTCCAGCTTGAAAATTTACCATTAGTGACAACTCTCTCTGCTCTATTTTTAAGCCAATGTTCTACCTATGAACAAACTTTTTCATCTAGGCCAATTTCTTTTAGTTGGAACATTAACCTATTGTGAGGAACCGTATCAAATCCTTTGGCAAAATCCAAGTAGATCACGTCCACTGCAACACCCTGATTTATACTTCTAGTTACTTCTTCATAGAATGCAATTAGGTAAGTTTGACATGACCTATGTTTCATATAACCATGCTGATTATTGCTAATAACACTGCTCCTCCCAATTAATTCAAGAATACTATCCCTTAATAACCCTTCAAATACTTTCCCAGCCACAGAAGTTAAGCTCACAGGTCTATAATTTCCAGGCAAAGATTTTCAACACTTTTTTAATATAGTAACAACATCTGCCTTCCTCCAATTCTCCAGTACATTTCCTGAAAGAAAATAATCTTGAAGCATTTAATACAGAGGTTCACTTATTTCCACACTTAGCTCCTTAAGTACTTGTGGTTGAATACTGTTAAGCCCCAGAACCCAGAGCTTTGTTTACATTAACTTTCTTTAGCTGCTGTAGCACCTTTTCTTGAGTCATTCAATCAAAGTTTTTTTGCTGCAACCATATGCATTTCTCTTATCATATGATCCTCTTTAATATATACTGATAAAAAATAGCTATTTAACATTTCTGCCTTTTCCTGGTCTTCAGTAACTTACATGATTACAACAGTGTTGTATGGTTAAATAAATTGATACAGTAATGATCAGTTACAGGAGAGGTAGAAACCAATAACACAAATAGATATTAATAGGCAAAGGCAAAAAAAATCATATCATACAGATTAGTTAAAAAACAAAATATCAGTATGAATCACAGAATTTGTGGAACTACTAAATTATAAGTAGGCAATGTAGGCCAACCATGTCAGTACCTACATTCAAAGATATACAGATTATAAATAGTGCAGATTATGCCAAACACTGTTGTGCAATATAAGTAGGAGATATGTAATAGACAGGATACAATGAGAAGGTGGTAACCAGAGGCACATGATCCATTGTGGCAACAGACACATAATAAGCAGGATAGCAGAAGATATTCAGTTATCCTTATGAGAACAAACAACCGAATACTTACTCTGAACTCATCTTCATATAGTAATGAAGTACTTATGTCAGAACATATGGTGATAATAAGATCTTTCTGCAGCTTGTTTTATCTGCAAAGATTTCAACACAAATCCAAGCATATAATCCACAAGTATTAGATCAATGCAATGTTAGGAGTGACCATCACTTACACAGATCTAGGTACATAGACCATGTAAAACATATCAGCCAAATGTTTGGAGAATTAAACAGCTTAAAGCCACACATTTGTTGCATTTTCCAAAAATTAGGACACCTTGAAGAATCCCCATGAATGAATATCAGAACAGAGGTCCGTAATGGAACGTTATGTTCAGGGATTTCTATTGTTTTGGTAGCAGGTGAATTTTACTTGAAATAGTAAACTTGGTAGAATCATCTGGGGACAGGAAAGACCTTTAATTGACCAAAGTCAATTAAAATACTTGCAATACCCAGCATCAAAGTTACATGGAGCATATGAGCCTAAAATAATAATTTTTATTGCAGAAAGGAAATTATAAAGTTCCCCTCACAACAGGGGAATCTATGGGAAATTCTGATCCTTAACCCCTTAAAAACCAAAAGCATGCTGCCCCTGACATATATTAAAGGGATTACCAAACTCCAGGTTCCCAAGGGATGAAATAGCAGAATACTGAATATAACAAATAGCACATTCCCCCACTTTTAAAGATTATGTTTTAAGGAAATTTACTCAGTTCTAATGAATATTTTGAACCAATTCCAGAGTATTGAGATAAAATCTGAATAAAAATTACAAACCAGGGGCATGTCCTGGACTCCGATCATGGCGGCTGCTTAATCCCTCGGCTCCACACCACCCAGCAGCAATCAGCGTGCTGAAGCCTAAAACCCGCACATAAATGGGAAGGACAAAGAGGCAAGACCTCCAGGAACAAGAAGCCGCACTCACAAACAGGTCAGATGGACAAATTCCTAGGCACACAGACCTCCAGGAACAAGAAGCCGCACGCACAAACGGGTCCGAATTCCTAGGCACACCGGCTGGTAACTCACAAGAGGCCTTCGCGCCCAATAGGGCGCCGACATCCCCCGCTTCCACGTGTTCAGGCAGGGAACAGGTTACTCTGGCAGACTTCGGGGCAGAATTGAGCCCTTTTGGTCACAAAAGAAGTCCTTAATCGGGCTTCCGACACCCTGCACACAGCGTTGAAAACTGAAATGGCGGGCATCAAAGCAGACATCACACTCCACGACACATGCATAACCGATGTGGAGCAACGCGCAGACAATGCTGAGAAACAACTCAAGGCCACAGACACCACCATTCACTGACAGGGAGACCTACTGCTGGCGATGCGGTGGCACCTGGAAGTTCCCGACAACAGGGACCGCCGCAACAACATAAGGGTGCGCAGAGTACTGGAGGCAGACAGCTCAGGGGAAAATGTGGCAGAAACCCTCACCCAGCTCTTCCGCATCTTCCTCCGTGAAGATGCACCAGACCACTTCAGAATCGACAGGGCGCACAGAGCCCTCAGACCGCGTATGGCAGACGGCGCACCACGTGATATAGTATGCTGCATCTACTCCTTCCCACTTAAGGAACAGATAATGCAGAAGGTTCTCTCCCGCACCCACTGGGCATACAGAGACGCAGAGGTCACCCTCTACAACGACCTGTCACCACTAACCCTTGACGCCAGATGCGCCTTGAGACCAGTGACAACAGCATTGCGGCACAGAAACATCACATACAGGTGGGAATACCCCTTCAGCATCAATGTTCGCCATCAAAACGAACTGGTGTCAGCCCGAAGCCCAGCCGGAGCGCAACTGGAGGCTGGATTTTGCCCAACCTGAAGAGTAACTACACACTGCATCGCCGTAAAGCCAGGCCCAGCACAGACCACACAACTCCCCGACATCACACCGAGCGAGAAAAACCTCACCACGGTCCTGATTTCAAACAGCATGCCGCACCAACCAACACCCTCCACCGAGAACTCTGAATCTCGGTAAGCTACATGAACACCACCCTGCCCCGGATAATCCCAAAAGAAAGGGGCACTATGCCAATTTACCATTTGGGAGAGGGGACCCGGGGGTGGGGGGACACCGGCCACACGGGTGCCAGGGCCCTAATAGCCTACCTGCTCAGACACGGGCAACCAGAACCAAGCCGCAAAAGGGGACAAGGACAAAAGGAAGGGGACATTCACGGATGGGACTGCATGATGGGAGGGATATAACACATGATTGGGGTACCCGGGGACAGAATACGCCCGATAAATATAGACATCACACCTAAGGCCTCGGAATAGGGTCCCCCCGGGGAGCACTAGGCCCCTGACGAACAGCCACCATCCACAACCCCCATGACATAGTACTTCAAAATGAGAACAAGGCAACACAATCCTTGGTAAAGGCTGACCCTCTGCCTGCTTATTAGGGAAGTATCATATACGTTAGGCTTCTGTGGTATGTTAGATGGTTCCTGAGGACTAAAAAGCCTCAGTACTTTGTTAATGCTGTCATAGTTTGGATCTGTAATTCTTATTTCCTATATCATATAACGGGGAATAGTTTCGACAGCTACATTCCTGCTTACATATATCAGAAATAAGCGCAGATCAGGATACACTCCTTAAACGCACATTGTTACCATTCTATCGTTGTGTTTCCCTGACACAGACAAGAGATTAGAAGCAGACAGGGATGATAATCCTGTTGTAGCCACGAAGAAGCAATCCTGAGTTGCAAGGTCTAACTACTTTTAAATCTAATGCTGAAGCTAGCAGTTTGCACACTTACAAACAGTAAGAAAAATCCCAGGAAATCACTTAAAGCTCCCCATAGATAGTACTTGGAAGTAGAATTCATAGACTCAAACATGTTGAACACTGACAACGTACTATATAATTACGCTCTAATTCCTGGTTATACGCAAGATCATTGTCTGCATGGCACACCTCAGGGCCACTCTCAAGTGGATCACTTGCTCTCTATCGCATACTGTGTCCCTTTCTGCACCATGCACCTAGAAAAAGCATTCTGCCCCTAATGACTTACTAGGCATGGGTAGTCAAAAGCCCACAGACGACAGATAAGTAGCAAGCAGCCAATACCCACAGACTCAACCCGCACATACACCACCCCCCCCCACCGGACCACCTGCAGAGGGGTAGACACATTCATGGCAGGGAGACGAGACAAGAGATGAGGAGCACACACAGGGGATCAGAGAGGAAATGTGAGGTAGATAACGCTCATACATTAGGGGGGCTGGAAAGGAAAAAAAAAAAGTGCCACTACCACCACACTAGTAATTTACATTGATCACGATACGAAGGGGAGGAAGTGAGGCAGTTAGCTGAAGGCCCGGCCGTGCACGAACACTGGATAATACTCACAAACCCATAGATTAGATTAGATCGCGTCAATGAGCAGGCTACAACACATGTATAACTTCACATGGTGGAAGAACCATCCTCAAGGTAGAAACTCACACTACCCACAGGTACACGCCTCCACTGGGCAACAATACACCCAACACAACTCAAACTAGCACTACCTACCGCCCGCACAGTGAAAGACACACACCCCAGACCGCCTGTTTGAACAATTGTTACGGCTGTGAGCCGGCACGTCTCGGTTTCGGACGACCCTGAGCCTGGAACCGCACCCGCTGCACCCGTGGTCACACAGACCACCTTGCAAGACCAAGGTTGCCAACCCAGACACTTACGACTGATATCATAACACAAGAGACACAGGGCGCCCACGAAACTACCCTTGCCCCCCGTCCCCGTGCTCTGCCAGGCTGTGCCCGCAACAAGGCGTACATGGCAGGGTGCTGTTCCCTCAGGCTGCCCCCATGGTGTGGGCCCACCGCGCCCCCCCAGCATATCGCTCTTGCCCACTCCGCATACTCACCCATAACTGCAGGGGGCTGAACATCCCAGAACGAAGGTCACACCTCCTCAGGGAACTCCGACGAAAGCAAATCTCGATAGCCCTCCTCCAGGAAACTCACTTCCCAGGGGACTCCGCCCTGACCCTCAGGGACAGAACATACTTACAAATGTACCTTAGCAACCACCAATCCTCCAAGAAGGTGGGAGTAGTAATAATCCTCGCCACGAGGCTGGGTTTTACGGAAATGGATAAAATATTAGACCCGGTTACTCATGTGTGAGAACCCTATCACTCGTCGATGCATTATACTTTATCGTTGGTTTACCTTGCTAGCCTGGTGGTTGAGTCCAGGAGGATACCTAAAGGTTAGCTGGGTGGAAGGCCCTATTATTTATCGCCAGGTAGGAAAGACTCCTGACGAGGTGTATACTGCCACGGTGTTGATGTTTTGAAGGGAACTGTTGGGAACCTCGACCTGGAGGAAATCATTGGGGTAGTGTATTGCTACTGGGCTGTGATTCACGTATTTGGAAGTGCTCGCGTAGTGTTTCCGTGGACTTGTCTAATGTTCGGGGCTAATCTTGGCCCCAAATGTCCGACGCCTGATGAGACGGTACATACTTTCCTTTTGGAACTCCGTGACTGCCACGGAGATGATGTATAGGCAGCAACGTTCCGTCTTCGAGAATTCTCCCATGCGTTAGTCTGTGGTGGCATATTGGAATAGGAACTGATGGCCCAGTGAGGTCGTGTGAAGAGGCATTTCCGAAGGACCCGAACTTGTGTTAAGTGAATCCTCTGTTTTGCTGCCAAGGAAAGGATCTAAGATACAAAAAGTGCCTGCGATTAGACCCAACGATGCGGAGAGAGGGTCGCACGTGGAATTGAGTAGACCCACTGAGGCCGTGGTTGTATCGTGGGGGGTCGGAATCATGTCTGGGGTGAATCGCCCCTGGAGGACCCTATGTAACGTGGGTAGTGGTGGCCCGTGAGGGCCGCGTATAGAGGTATGTCTGAAGGACCTGAGCTATTTAGTTGAACAACGTCTCTGGTTTACTAAAGGAATATATGTCAGAGATTTGTTGAGAGCCTGTGACTGGACTCCTACGTGTGAATAGAGAGAGGCTCATGGGTAACAGAGAGCCAAACAAAGCGACAGTAGTATGTAATGGCCCAAGTGAGGGGCCGGAACTGATTCATTGTGGATTGCCCGCGGAGGGCCGTATGTAACGTAGGAAGTGCCAACCAAGTGAGGGACGCGTATAAGGCTTTGTGGAGGACCTGACGTCTGTTTGTAACGACGACTCTAAGTGAAAGACAGAGATTCCTTAAACCTGCGACTGAACTTAGAAATGCCGAGAGAGAGGGACGTGCAAAGAATTTAGTGGTTCCAAGGGGGCCCTGGATGTATGTGATAGCCCGGATAAGGGGCCGTTCTATTGTAGAAGAGAAAAGCCCACCGCGGGCCGTATGTTACGTAGGCCATGATTACCTATTGAGGGCTGCGTGTAGAGGTATTCCCGAAGGAGCTGAAGCCAGTATTCGACCCATGTCTTAACTTTAATGTTGGGAAGCAAGATAAGATATGAAAGAATTGCCTGTGACTGTACACATAATTGTAGTGTGGAGAGGGTCGTACGAGGACTTGAGTGGGTCTAATGATGCCGATGTCGTATGTTACTGCCCAAGTGAGGGGCCGTAATAGCATCATAATGATAGCCCGCAGAGGGCCGTATGTAACGTATGTAGTGAAGGCCTGACGAAGTTGCGCATGGTGGTATTACTGAAAGCTAAGTGCCAAAATGTAGAGATTATGCCATGTGTGATTGCCCCTACAAGGATTTGTAAAGTGGGTGTGTTGGATAGCATGCAGAGGTTGATTGGAACATGTGGTGGGAGGTCGTGAGTAATGGTTGCCGCAATATAGTAGAGTGGTATGTGATACTCATGGCTGAAACTGACGTAGGAGTTGACTGGCTGTGTGACGTGCCGTAATTTATTTATATTTTTGTGCGTGGCTAGGGTCAGTTGAGCATCCAAGATTGTGGGAGCCGTAAAAAGGCCTGGGAACAGTGGGTGGACAGTATAAGAACCCTGGTATATGTGCTGGACTCTCAGGGGCAGTGGGTGTAGCCAAAATGGAATTGTATGCTGTAATGCCGGCCACCTGTGTGCTAAGAGCAGGCTACTTCATAAATTGAAACGACTCGCGACAAATTGGTACGTGGATTGATTGCCCGTGACATAATGTAACAGCTTAATGGGGGGGATGGACAGACGCACGAAATCAGAGGATTTGCCCCAGGCGTAGTCCACAGGGTAGGAGCGGCCGTGTGACTGGTTGGCGTATCCTGAACATGGTATGCTAGAGCCATGTATAATGCCTGATGGCCATATGAAGAGTAAGTCGTGAAGGCCTAGGGAGGGCAAGCCCTTAGTAATACTTGGGAGGTAAGGTGGCCGCGTATTGGTAGTATCTGTCTTATTGGATGTATATTAAAATAGAGAGTTGGTTCAGTGTTGACTGTACGGATGTGTGGCTCCAGCCGCATATGCCCGACCAAGTAAGCAGAATAGTATATGAACATGATGCACCAAGGAGGGGCTGAAGTATGTGTTAGTAGGCTACCATCTGGGTATCGTGTGGATAGTGTAAGCGTGAATACAGGACGATCGAATATTAGGTGAGATATTAAGGGGGTCGAGAGATTGCAGAGTAACCAGTTGAGTTGCTCCATAATCACCTAGTGTACTATCCGGCGAGCATGAAAGAATGCACTTGTTAATGTAGGACTGTATATTGTATGCACCCATGTGCAACCAGAATCACACAAAGTCGAGGCTCCAAAGCCAGACGTGCAAATAGTGGTCGAACGTGAGTGTGAACCCAACGGCCCCACTGTGCGTATTCAGAGAGCACTAACCTAGTAACGTTGCAATAACCAAGCGATACGCATTTGTGGGAGGATAGTTAGTGCGATGTGTAGGAAAGGGGGTTAACATATACCTATGTGAGGCCACAGAATATGCTAATGAGGTAACAAAGTGAATTAAGGAACTTGCTGTGTGGATAAAAGGTCACTGTAGGTTTGACTGAACCCGACTAATTAAATAGCAACCAAATAGCAAACCAAGGGACAGGATCGTGCGATGTACGACAAACGACAAGGCTGTCATACCCGGCTGACCTGCATTACCAAATGACAAAATACAATGATCCTGCCCTGGAACTTGATTTTCATACTACCCGAATTGCTAACAGTTTGTTAAGACGTATGTAAAGATATAGCAAAGGAATACAGATTTGTGGATAGAGTGACTGTTTAACAGAGGCTAAGAGTGACCATGCCCCAAGGTGGCGTGTGCTGCCCTTAATTTGACCATCCGTTGTATATTTATATGGCAGCGTTGCAACGAAGACTATGAACCACTTTAACACAGGATTAAACGAATATCTGACGTAATGTGCTTTGCCATAATGTGCTTAGATAAAGAACGATTTCATTAAGTACAGACGTTGTGTGTGTCTATTATCTGCCCCAGCAGAGTATCACCCGCTCAATGAGGCCTGGGATGGCTGAGAGTAGTGAGCCTGGTGGTGCCTGCTTGCTCCTGCCCCTCTGCCATTGCAAAGAGGCAGGCGGAGCTGGAGCTGTAGACCGTGCATAGCCGGCAGCATGGACTGGCGTTGTCTATGGAGGGGGCGTGCTCCGTGAAACGCCTCCCCCTGTGAGTCATTGGTGTGTTGGCTGAAGCTTGCCGGTGAGGGATTACCACAGAAAAACTTGTTGGGTTGTGTGGGTTTACTTCATGGCACAGACGGAGTCCCGGAGCAATCGTCTGAATACCCGGTACGTGTGGCTGGCGGTGATGAGGAGCCGAAGCAGCCCCTCTAGCAGGGGATATCGCAGACCTCCGTGGTGAGTTTGTGGGAGGTCTGAGCTACGTGCGGCAATTATGCAACAGGCTGCGTGGGACCACGGTAGTCGGGTTAAATCACCGGTATGCTACAGACTGTGTACTATTGCACACCGTCTGTGGACTCACTGTTTGAGTGGGTAACCACCGTTTCTTGGCCGGTGTCTAGGCTGCTGGGCTGTCGGGCTGACTTGCTGTGAAGATGCTGCACGCTGGAACCCAGGAGTTTATCTGGAACCAATTATTCTGGATCGGTGTTAACCCTGAGTGGAGGTAAGTCTGAGTATAAATAGGTAAAACCTCTCCCACAACTGCAGGCTCCGCCTTAACATATATATATATATATATATATATATATATATATATAATACACAAGATCCAGCGCAAAAAAAACCTAAAACAAATAAAATCTTTCAACATTGAAGTTGCTGTTTAGTGGATAGGTGAGTGCGCTGGATCTTGTGTATTGTATAATTTGGCACCCAGCAGCACCCCATTTATGCATGTTCAGGTGAGTGCAGCCACACCCCCTTGTTTCATATATATATATATATTTGGGAGTATGGCCAACTCCTTGGTTTTGCACCCCTCCCTGTCACAGGTGCCTCATCCCTATTTAGACTTGTACTGCAGAGAGCCCTAGATGGAATTTTTTCCCCAAGTAAGTGGGTTAATCTCATAAGAGCAGACATTAGGCTGTTAGAGTAGGACCTGCCAAAGATGGGATACATTGACGTTGTGGCAGGCTTATGCAATGTATGATCATATAATGTAACTTAACCCCCATTATTTTTGCCTAGATTAGGTGTTTTTAAAAAAAAAAAAAAACTTTCAAAATTGAAGTTGCTGGGCTGCACTCATGGTCTTCCAATAAAAAAGCTCTTTATTTCAAAAAATCAGCAAATCGACGTTTCGGTCTGCACAGGGACCTTCCTTAGGAAAAAGTGACAATTACAAAATAAAACAAACTCATATATATACCCCTACAAATCATAGAAATGTGCCTTACCCCAGGTGTGTAACTCTCAACCCAGCGTTCTCACCGTGTGACTGCGCATGTGCACCTACACCA